AACAGGTCCTTCAGCATTGCTGTTTCAGTTTACTCAACTGTAAAGGAAGACATTGATAGCTAACTGTTTCAGAAGGCTGCTGCTAATAAAGCTAAGTAACACTGCATGCAAAAAGATTGTCTTAGTAGGAGGTAGCTTGTAGATGTGCATCAGGACTGATTTTCCCAGCTGCCCCAAGGAAAACAGCAGCCAAAAGCCCTAAAAGTACCGGGCCATAGCTTGCTAGTTTTCTCCAGAGTCCTTCTCTCCCTGGAAGTCCAATGTAGAACAACCCTAAATAACCTCAAAAGCAAGGCTTTGAGTTTCAGACCACTTTACTGTTCCTGTACTAGTTAACCAGACCTTGCCTTTACTCAATCTATAGACTTAAAAGTCCAGTGACTGCTAAAATGTTTTCAAATACTTTGAGCTTCAGTATAGGATGAGTAACTATCCCTGAATGTGTTTAAAAACCATTTGGATGAGGTGCTCAGGGACATGATTTAGCGGAGGGTCATTAGAGTTGGGGTAGTATGGTTAGGTTGCGGGTGGACTCGATGATCTTTAAGGTCTTTTCCAACCTGAGCAATTCTATGATAAGATGGCTGTATCTAAGATACTCTTTGGAAATAGGCCTTGGTCTGTCCTAACTCGCACCCTGCATCGCAATAGGACCAAGGTCCCCACCCAAGATAAGGTTAATTTACTAGCATACTCTTAAAGTGTTTGATTTTTTGGTACTAACAGTTACTCCCATTTCAGGGAATCTCTCCTTTCACCTACAAGCGATGTGGAAAAAGTGACCAAGACACAGGAACAGAAGTATAGGTGGATTCAGTTCCCCTTTGTTGGAGTATAGTTAGCATCTCTAGGGCAATTATACTTCCCTTCTATTCTGATTTTGCAAGATCCCATCTGCAGTGCTACATTCAGCTCTGAGGCACCCAATACAGGAAAGATGTGGAGCTGTTGTAGCAGGCCCAGGGAAGGGCCATGAGGATGAGCAGAGGACTAGAACACTGCTCCTACAAAGAAAGGCTGAGGGAGTTGGGCTTGTTCAGCATGGAGGAGGGAAGGCTTCAGGAAAACCTCATTGTGACCTTCCAATACTTAAAATGTGGTCCTACAGGAAAATTGAGGAGGAAATCCTTACCTGAGTGACAGGAATAAGTGCTTTAAACTAAACAAAGATAGAATTAGATTAAAAATTGGGAAGAAATTCTACACTCTGAGGGTGGTGAAGGACTGGAACATGTTGCCCAGATAAGGTGTAGATGACTCAGCTGTGGAAGTGTTCAAAGCCAGACTGAATGGAGCTCTGGGCAAGGGGGTTGGAACTAGATGATCTTTAAACCAATCTAAGCCGTTCCATGATTCTGTGGCGTGGACTTCCTAGGATCTGCCAACTTTGCTCTCATGGACATTGAGCATTTCTCTCTCTCCTTTTGTAGTTCTTCTCTTGGTGTACAAAGTTCACTGAAAGAGAGTGTTGTGTTCATGACAACACAAGTCCTGCTGTTAATAAATACTTATTTCTATTAATTTTTAAGTAAAGCGAAACACAGTTGAGGTTATTTGTTTTCCATTTCTTTACCCTCAAGGATGTAGGATACTTATTTGGTGTGAAAGAGACCAAGAATTAAGTCCCCTATGTGAGAATACAAGATCTAAAAACTGCCAGGACTGTATGTAAAATTCATGAGGCAGTATTGAAGTCCAATAGCAAAACTGATAGCTTATAGCACAGAGGCAAAAAAAAAAAAAAAAATGTTTTACAGTCTGAAGAAATTGTAAAAGACACAGAACTAAAGAAAATCTTTCACATACAAGCGTTGTAACATACATTAAGAGATCAGGTGGAAGTAAAACTACAGTAGTAGCAGCACAGCAATCACTGCAAGTCTGTGGCTGAGGAATTACATTACATTTTGCCTAAGGGACAGAGTTGTTCACCATGCTAAAGAAAGAGAGATAGAGGAGAGTAAAAGAGGATGAGTCAATGAACTGAACTCTTCCAGTCCTAAAATCCCTCCCAAGTCACATTTTTGCCTTTTCCGGGACAGCATCATTGAAATTCCTTCATTAACACAGGTACTAAGGAAGGCTAGAAAGAAAAGTTAAAAAGAGAAAAACAACACCTAAAGCCTCCACCACAAAGACAGCATTCTATTGCATTAATGATTTTCTAATGCAAGAAACTAGTAGACTGATTCAGACATGATTCATTCACCATCAGGACAAGGACTAATACCAAAGATGACAAGTGAAGAATATTCTAAAATGTTTCAGTTAATTCATTTTTTGTTTAATTTATTTCTGTAGATGTTACAATTTTGGAAGAAGCCTTGAGATAAAGAAACTTGACAGCTGCTTAGAAAACTTGTTTCTGAAGCATTAGTTTACAAATGAAACCACCATACCATCCTGTTGTCAGATGCTGCATACCATGAGTGGTTGTCTTTTAAATAAGTGCTCTCAGACCTTCCTCAGACCTTCAGAGAAAGGCAAGAGACACAAGGAAGGCCCGACCTTATCCTCTGCTTTCCTGAGCTGCAGTCTGTGCTCAGAGCTACAGGTACACGCTGAAGATGAGCATGTACTCAGAGAGAGAGAATTCCTCAGTGACTGAGATTTTACTTGGAAGAAGATCTCCAGGAAAGCTCTATCTCTGTGAGCAGCAAAACAGAGGGGAGCCCGTGGCTGCCTGCCCCCATACAGCACTTTGAAATTCTAAACTGAGGAGCACCACATAGGTGCCAAGAACTTTTATAGTTACACATTTGGGCTGCACGTAGGTGAGTTTGATGGGAAGAAAACCTCTTGTTAAGGGACTTCAGTCTGTTCCTAAGGGGAACTGCCAGCATGGCAGAAATTTTTATACAAAAGGTTCATTCAAATACATCTGTACATATTTATACATAAAGAAACACGCACCTCAATTTCTGAGGATAAAGTATCTGACTTCCTTTTGCCCCTAACTTAGCGGTTATACAGCCACAAATGTTATTTGTTTTCCCCTCATTTAACAGATAGAAAAACATGTCTGCATGGAGAAAGCTTGGCAGTGAGCAAGACCCATTTTATTTTCTTCTTTCTATCTGGAAGATCTCCTTGGTCTTTACACAGCACGAACCTAGACTTGCTCTTATCACCATACCAAGTACTGTAAGGAAACTAACTCAATTTACTTATGCTTTAAAGCATTTAATTTGAAGTAGGTACCTGCCTTGTTAGTGTGGCACTCAGATGTTTCTGAGCTGGCATGCTCAAATGGAAGGAGAGTTTCTACGGAAATTACTAGCTGCAGACTATCGACAGGTTTGTGGTAGAAACCAAAACTTCCCAAATTATTAACTCATTGTCAGAGCATTTTCCTCCAGACAGAAGTGCATGCTCTTTATACTTCCACTGAAGCCATTAAGGATTATAACAAAGAACAAAACAAGTGTACCAAAATTAATTGAGCTGTAAACAAACATCAGTTTTCTTACCTTCCAAAATTTGGTTAGGAGTAAGGTGCTGTTGCTTTAAGAAACAAAGCAGCAGTTTCAAGAACAGTAGTCATGCATTTGATAATAAAGTACAGTAAAAATGAAAAAACTGTTTCCATCAGGACCCAGATAGAGCTAGCTATAGCACTGACTTACTGCCATTTATTTCAAGTGGAAATATCTGTCTGCAGTAGGCTTCCAGTATTATTTTCTTATAAAAACAAATCACACCAGACTTCTCTTTTCCCCTAGACTTTTATCATTCACCTGTTGAAATTGCAGGAGACATAAAGCATAAACAAATAAGATTGATCTCCTTTCAACTTGTGTTAACAAGGATATAAAAATAACATCCCAAATACCAGGGGGAAAGCATGTGGTCATAAAAAAATCCACTTGAAAGGCAAAGAGGTGTTGAATCAACACTTGAAGAGGATATATATTTTTTTTAGATATATAAAACCAGGAAGGCAGTTATACAGTTTTAGTATAAACAGGCACCTCTGAGGTAGAGAGAGTACTGTCATATCTTCTTCAAATTCAATATTTTGCTGATATTGAAATAGATTGTGTCTCACATACCACTGAAAAATCTGACAAAGTTCACTTGAAACCTTTCCATGGTTGAAATAGGAATCTCATGAATTTTCAGTAAAGACCACTAATCTATTAACACCTCTCCTTTTGCAAGACAGTACTAAACAGAGTTTAAGAAAGACTAAAGAGTAGAAACAAAGTTTAGACTGGGCATCATCTAACTTTTCAACATCTCTTAAGTCCCTGGTAATAGGTAAGAACAAAATATTGACCAATTCTGGGGAACGAACAATCCATAGATGAAAGATTGTAAATACTGTGTTTTCTATTAAGCAATTTTCTCTTTGTGTCCTGGTTTGAAGAAAAAGATCGTAAAACCCAGGAAGCCACAGCAGAGACAGAGTTAACAATGTTAAAATAGACTGCCCTACCTTATGCTTAGTACTCACATTAGTTCCTAGTTATTACACATTTCCCCCCAGCTCCTGCACTCCCAGAGGTGGATGTGGTTCAGGATGCCCATGGCAGCCTACAGCGCACTGTTAGAACACCATCATGGCAGATGAAAATTGCAGCACCGTCTGGAGAAAACACTGCATACTTGTCTTATTTCTTGGGAGAAACTCAGCATGATATAGAGATATACAGGGAAGTCACACACCTGTATAGAAACTAAACTGGAAGAACCTATTAGACACAAAACCCTAGCAAATATATCAGGGATGTGCCTTGTGAATTCACTGGATTGTACCCACAGACTCAGGAATAGACGACACTTAACCACTGGGTTAACACAGGAGAAATAATCACTAAAAACAGAGTAAATGGTCTGTCAAGCTTGTGCATCTTGTTCTTCAATAAGGGAATAAAAGAAGAGGCAAGGCACGTTTCAGCATCATTCATCTAGCACAGCAGTAAGCTGTAAGTAAGCAGTAGTAAAGTAAGACTCCTTCAGCATTGTAGCTGTCTCCATTAGAAAACAGTCTTGAGGCACTTTATATGTTGTTCATCAGGAAGCCTACACATATTTTATTGTCCTTTCTAGCAAAAATCTATCAGCTACATATAAACTTAACAGGAAACTGCAAGATTGACAAGATTTACAAACATGAGCTTTAAGTTACAGCACAAGCTGGTTTAATGAGGCCACTGTACAAGTATTATAACAGTTACAAATCATTTATTCATTGTTTTTCTTCACAAGGTACAAACAGATTCATGAAATAATTTCTTGTTCAAGGTGGCTTTCAGAGAAATCCCCTATAGTAGAATTCTATTAAATAAAGTTAAAAAGCAAACAGCATTTTATACCCATTGTTGTAGATTTAGCCCTAAGCAATAATGATTCATGCCAAGCAATAGCTTTCCTTACAACAGGAAAACACTGTACTGAATCTGAACGGTTTTCATGGCTCTGTTCAGATGCAGAGGAAAAAAAAAAGACACTTCTCCTTCCACTAAAAAAAAGAAAGGACAAAGTAATCTAACAGGAACTCCTCCTAATATAAGCAAGGACCCTCAACACTTTATAGATAAAGTTTAGTAACAGTAGTTTAGTAATAGTTGTGATGATAGTACACCAAGTCTTCACTAAAAGTCTCCACTTATTTTCTTCTAGTGTGCAATCTGTGACTGATTCCTTCCCATTCCAAGGAAAGCAACAACTTGACACTGCAGAGCTACAGCTCTCCAAAGAGATCCACAGCTCACAGATTTTCTGTCAGTTGCCTCTACAAGATCAAATACGTTCATGCCCACCTTACATCAGAAAGGCTTACTGATATTAAGCTCCCTACAACATTTAATTCATCTTAAGTCTTTAAGAAGAACAACAACCCACCCCAAATGACTGACTTGATGTCTGCTGCTACCATCATCCCTCTGCTCTGAAACAGATGTTTACAACTGCAGTATGACTAGCAGAGTTTCAGAAATGTTTGCTGGTAAGATTAGGTCAGATGCAAGTCACGCAAAAAACACAACTTCAAAACTCTAGAGAAACAAAAGAGAGGAACACACTGAAGTTTACTAAGAGATTACATCAGTGTTTGTTTAGCTGACCCTTTTCCTCAGTTGGCACTGAGAATGTATTTTCCTGGCAGATATTTTTAAGATGCCCTTCCTTGTAAGTCTGGGCAGACCACACGCTTAGGCCATTTAACTGCAACTTTATGGAACTAAACAGTCCTTGGATATTTCCTCAAATCTATGTGTTCACCTACAGGGAAGAGAGAAATACCTCACGTTAAAGCCTTAGTACACTTGGTATATCAGTAATGTGACCTGAGAGCAATACCAACCTTTTCTGAGCAGTTTTTCCTTTCTAATAAGCACTGCTCCAGATGACACTTGCCCCTGTGGATGCGGTTCTGCACTGCGGTCTAGTGAGACATTTCAGGTTTTAATATTCTGTACAGCACACACCAGGAAGAGTCTGTCAATTGACAAAACTCCAAACAGCATACAATGAGCTGCTGAGCAAGCTCCAGGAACAACTTGAGAAATAGCAGTTTTCTTACCAAGGCGATGTGTCCCAGGATAGCATCTCCTCTGACAAATCACATCTGAAGGCAGTGGTGTAGTGCTGCAGATCACAACACTGCAGTGGAAATATAACTACAGAAAAAAATATATATATATTGCAGCATGTACAGGGGAGTCTAGTAAAAATTGGATACACAGACAGACTCCAAATGAGATTATAAGTGAATGCTATTGTATGGCTAGGCTTGTCTTTATGTACTACTCCTAGGGTTATGCCTTGAAGGCAGATAATAGCCTCCATCAGTACCTAGCTAACTGAGCTCCTCTACAGCATTTGTTGCATGAACTGCTCTACACACTGGGATTGCCAACTGACAAAAAAAGAGATTTCTTACCTGCATTTGTAATAGAGTTGTGCTTTGTACAAAGGTGAACACTGTCACTTCAAATCTCTTGAAGTGCTGAGGAAATTTCACTCTATGGCTGTAATTAACTTCATGAGAGACTGTTTTGTAAGAGTCCTCACTATTTTCACACCTTTTGGAAAAAAATAAAAATAAAAGAAAACATAATCCAAGCTTTCATTTCAGTAAGATCCTTCCACAACCTATGGATGTGAAATGTCAGAGAACTCGTTTTCCTCAAAGCATAACAGTATGGACAGAACCCCTCAGGGTTTCTGCCTTTGGCCACAGTAATAGTTGCTTCTTAGATGTTCATTAGTGATAGCTAGAAGCACCTGGTGCTTTTGACACCAAAAGCCATAGCTGGCATGCAGGCACTTTCATGTACTTCAACAGATACAGATTTAGGACAGAGCAAACCTTCCTAGGCAACTTCTAACCTCTTCCCCATTCTTTCTAGTTAAGGTTAGGGGCTTTGTCCTGAACAGTCATCAGCCATGAGAGGGATGCTCTTCTTACCCATTTATGAGGATTGGCCATTGTGGAAGACTGTCTTGGCTTCGGGAGTTGGTAGCCCAACAGTCTTCCAAACGTAGTTCCAGTCTTGGGTCTGCAGGCTGGAGCAGTTCAACTTCAAAGTACAGTGCCTCCCTCAGATATTTTACCACAGGATATTCCAGTTCCCGATAGGGCTCAGAATAGGATTTCTCTAGAAGATATGTTAGGTTTTCCTTTTTACAGGATTGACATTCACAAATTTCAAATCACTGTTTTTGCGTCATCATTCACTCTGATACAGTATCAGAACTGGGAGAGTATTTAAGTCAGCAAATAGGGCTGTGATGGCAGGCAAAATAAGAACTAGTGAAGAAAGAGATCTGAGGATCCAGACAAGGAAGAGACACTTCCTTCCATAAAATCCACTGCAATGAGATTTTTGTTCAAAACTACTTCTAGAAAAGCACTGAGAAATAAGAGCAGAGTAATTCCAATCAGGGTGATAGTTTTGTTCAGGCTTCAGTTGCCTCTTCTGCCTGGAGGTTACCATGTTACAGCAGCATTATCATAGAATGGCCTCGGGTTGAAAAAG